CAGCAGATATGATTCTTTGAATTAGGTGGTAGAAGTTTTAAAGGTTACTTGCAGGGGCCTTTATTCGTATTAACTTCGTTTAAATCTATTGTTTTTCTGCTTTCGTGTTGTTCATCTTGCTTGGGTTTGTTTGACGTAATTTCTGGCTTGGCCAGCTAAATGCTTTGTATTAGCTATTGCTTTCTTAGGGTATGTAGTTCAGCTTAGGCCCTGGCCAACGAGTGCAGGCTCTTTTAAGGCCGATTTAGACAACTTTTGCTTACAACCATCGTATGCAACCTGCTCGCGACATCCCTACGGCACGACGTAAGTCAGAATTACACGCATACGATTATACTTTGTCTACCACTGGCCTAAATTTCGCGCGACTCGTTGTTCAATTTCCACAAAAATTCGCTGAATTGCAGCACTCCTAAAGTTTTTTTTAGAGAAGTCTTTGTGCCTACAATTGAAAGGGATCTCCTCTTTGCTGCATAGACTAATTAAATGCTCTAATTCCTCGTCCGTGATGTTTTTACACTCTTTCTTTGCAGTCTTTTCGTCGCCGCCATTTTGAATTAACAATCCTACCTCCCTCACGGTCTCCCACACAATAGCGAAATCATTTGCTCGTTTTTCTCTACGATTGTCGTAGGATTTTAAAGCAAGTTTTAAAAAACTACAACTTTTTTCTTGTTGCACACAACAAACTTGCGTGAATTGTAGATTTACACGACACCGTCGTAGGGATGACACGAGCAGGTTGCATGCGATGGTTGYAAGCAATACTTGTACCGTCTAAATCCTTTAAGATACGGTAGTACGAGCAATTTTCTTTGTTTGATTTCTCGAAAACTGACTGCACGGCTGCCTTCCCAAATTCACTTAGACCCTTTCAAAAGACTTTTTAAAGTCAATGTAGTCCAAAATGTTTTATAAAACCCTCCAGGTATCAGAAACATTGGTTGCTTCACTTTGGCCCAGTACAGGTCAACCTGCGCTTCRATCATTAGTCTCGCGCGTAATCTACCCACAATGCACCCATATATAGTTATATGGTATATACTTGAGCAAATCAGAATTTATGCATATTGCTGTATGTAAAATTAATAATGTAAAATCTTTTATAAGAAATATGTCAGTAAAGAAATATGTCAATTGATATGTGAAACTGGTTTTTGTTTTTATATCACTATCACAACAGAGGCACATTATCAACCCACAAATCAACTTTGACTGACAAACGTTATATAAAGAGTACTGATAAGGAGTGTTTTATCAGATATAAAGGTCCATGCATGTGACCAAATAGGCTCATTCTATTGACCTAATAATTCATTAATTATGTATGAGTTTTTCAAGATAAGTCAAGTAGTGTCTCTCAGCTAACATCTTAATAGTTCGTATAGTGTTTTATGAGGTCCTATTATACAGATACATCTCTGCACACCGACAATTGTTGTCATTCTCTTCTTGAAACCACAAGCTCAAATTTGAGCCATTTTGAACATTGTGCGGAAAACTGGGAAGCTCAAACTGAGGGGACACAATTTCAAGTTATCTATAAGGTAAGCCTTTGCACTTATCATTGGGTATTCCTTTGGAGAAAAGTTCATTTTATTGCATAAGTAGGAAGATTTCTATATGATTTCTGCTGGAAAGCCAGTCCCGATTTGCGAATTGTCCTGCGAGATTTTCTGAGAACGGGGAGATATAATGAAATACAGGTGAGAATGAAATGAGCAAAACAAGAAACGAAAAAGAAAAAAAKAAAACAAAGAAATTCGAGATGTCACTTTTTTGCCTGGCGTTTTTAAAGGTTACCATTCTCCTCTCTTCTTTGCGATTTGCGCAGTAAAACATGGCTGTACAGTAGTGGTAAACCAGTTTAAGCATCTGTATTTTAGGTTAGAATACTGAATAATCTYCATGCAATTTTAATGTTTGCTAAAACAAATATTGATATGATGCATCTGGTACCTTTGCTCCAATTTGAGGAAGCTCATTTTAACTATTATTTACCTTTATTGACGATAAAAGCTATCAAAACATCAGTATGTGTACACAAAACATTTAATGAAAAGAGCATATTCAAAATAGAATGCATAAATTAATGTTATGACATGCCATATAAGGAATGTTTAGTCAAGTAATATCCATCGGATATAAACCCACAAGAAAGGATTGATATGCTATTTTCAATTTATCTCTCACAATCTTAAACGAAAATTTGGCTGATTGTTACATTTATACTCCGCTGCGCTATCATACGAAATGTGAAAATAKACCGCAAATTGCTATGATATTATTCATAGTTTAGTTGTTCTATATAAGTTTTCACACAATCAAAATCTTGCATTTTTTTTTATTTCTTTATATGTGCCTATGCTAGGGCTAGCTACAAGCAGTCTTAGAATGATGAGATCATATATAAAATAAACCTTGATCTGCCACTAGAGGCACCGAATGATGTTTGTTTGTCGACTGGGAGTTCCACTTGCACACAACGAAATCYCMTGGGTCCGCCACTGCTAGATAAGATTTTTACATTTGCACGATGGTTCAGGGTGTAGATGTTGATATCGTTGTTACGTATATATGTTTATCATTTGATTAAGAATTATAATAATTAGATCGTTAATTAATTTGATCGTATAAGAGGTATGTATTTACTAAAGCTTTTTCACTAGTTCTACTGTTAATGCATTGATCCATGAGAATCGATTATAATATGTATGAGATGTTGGAACTCAAAACGGGTCTTACTTCAAAACTCTACCCTTGGATTGCATATAAACCCTTGCTTCATCAAAAGGGTAGCTTAGTTCCCCTTTTCAGTTCGCACATCTCATATATATAATAAAAAACATAACATAACATAACATAACATAACATAACATAACATAACATAACATAACATAACATAACATAACATAACATAACATAACATAACATAACAACATAAAACATGTGGTAAGAAATATTTCTTTATATTTTTGTATTACTATGACAACAGACCCACTTAGCCCAAATAGCAACAACGCATTGTATTCAATAAGACAAACAAATAGTGTCTCAGTTAGCACTTTGATAGTTGGTTTTACCAGGTCCTATATTGTACAAACACATCGGAGCAAACCGTTCCCATGTTATCATTCTCATTCGAATCGAATAAGTCTTCTCCAAACCACACGCTCAAATTTGATCCCTTTTGGACATTGTGCGAAAAACCGGGAAGCTCAATCTGAGGAGATACATTTTTTACGGCATTTATAAGATAAGAACTTGCACTAATCATTGGGTAATCCTTTGGAGGAGAAATCGTTTCGTTGGTTGAGGTTGTTAGAAAGATTTCTATGATTTCTGCCTGAGGCCCTGTGCCACCCCAATAACCCCATTGAGAACCAYTTGTTAACACCTTTCCTGAGATGTGGACCAATTTTAGRCCTATGAGAACACCCTTGTATGGAATGGTAAAGTTTCCGCATCCGTTGTTCTTAGCTTGGAGACAAACTGGATTGGCATTGACTTTAATCCATCCTTCTTCTGAGAATTAAAATTAAATGATATTAAAAATAATAATAGTAACAAGATGATTGCTTTGTGCTCAGAATTTGTATTATTTTTTGATAAACAAAGTTTGGTGGATCTCTGCAGTTGTTTTTTTGCCCATTCCTCTCATTTTCATTAACTATACTTGTTCATCGCTCGTGYTTGGTCTTTGCCGTGTAACACGTGGCATTTAACAGAAATACCAGAGACCATCAGGTCCTTGTTTTGATATTTCTCTGCACAGGCCTAGCAAGAGAGTTGTTTATTCCAAAACTTATTTTTTTTCGATTTG